ACACACTGTATCAGTGCATGCCCCTTACACACTGTATCAGTGCATGCCCCTTACACACTGTATCAGTGCATGCCCCTTACCTAGAGCTACCCTGGTCAACTGCAGGTTAATATCAAAATGTCGAGGAGGATGTTCAGTTGTGAAGCGGCAGGCCACAGAATCTCACAGAAAGAGACCTGATAACCTAAGATCAATATCTTACCTGAACAGCAGCACATCTCACCAGTGATGTTCAAACATCTAATAACATCTACAGTAAATAGTGACTACGCTAGTTGTTATGATAGTCGCTCCTCTTCCAGGAAGGCCTTTTACTGGATGTGCGATTATATAAGTGTAATTATACAACAGAGTTAGCGCTGGGTGTAAATTAATTAGGCAATTCGTCTGATGAACTGGGGCGTCCACGTGTTTTGGCCATATAGTATACACCAGGGCTATTCAACTTCAGCAGTAAGTAGAGCAAATAACAAAATCTCTTGGGGTTCCTGAGTCGCTCCACACTTTGTGGGAGTATGACTTAATATTGCAGTATAAATGGTATCGATATTTGTCAATCCATTTGCTCTGGAACTGGCAATTTTTACAATCAAATTTACATCTTTTAGGCTTAGAGAGGGACGATGTCAGCTCAAATTCCTCAAATTCTTGGCTTTCCATTTGAGGTTCTGCAGTCCAAGCTATGGCAGTGCAGGTCCGGTGTAATCTTGTTGCAGCCAATCACATTGAGTTCGTTATTTTGCATTATAAATGTGCCTTGTTTTATCATGTTACATAAGTGCTTGAACTACTGGCAGATTCTTGTGGGCCGCTAGTTGAATACCTGTAGGCTTAATAAAATAACATCGTACAACATAACCAGCATGGTTACAGCACTGGCATGTGGACTGGAAGGTTTTGAGGTTAAGAGCCTGAAATTACACAACCATTTCAGCTTTTTGATGTGCTGTTGAGTCCAGCGCTGGGCTGTTTTGTAACAGCATGCGCTGGAGATAATAGTGACATCAAGCGGCCGTCCATACAGATCTGCTTCCCGACCGTGACGGCGAGGAACTGACCCAAGGTTTCCTCCAAGCCCTGGTGAACATTCTCCTCGCACACGTCAAGACGACCTTTGACCGGAGCACCAAAGTGCTTGACTTCCATCACCCTCACCAGCTCAAGGAAGGCCTGGAAGGGTTCAGCCTGGAGCTCCCAGAGCAGCCAGAAAACCTGGAGCAGCTGCTGGTGGACTGTAGAGACACGTTGAAGTATGGAGTGAAAACTGGTAAACATGCTTTGCTTGCTTCTCCCTGGAGCCACGTAGCAGACCTGAGGATCCCTTGACAGCCAGACGTCAACAGGGGCATTAAGGCTGTGGGGCTCTTTTAGGGAACATAAATCAGCTACATCTCAAACCACAATGGTACCTGTTGCACTGTAGCTATGGCAACAATGAAATCATACTCTGCTGGTCTCTTGTCAGATGTCTGTTGTGATGAACAGTGAAATCTTGAATGTAGTCAAGCCCCTGTGCATTGTGGTGTCATGCAGATTCTGTATCATGAGATATTGTACCTTAGAGACTAATATTGATAAAGCAAAGCTCAAATTCCCAGGCTCTCTCTTTATTTATGTAATCGGATGTTTTCTTCTGAGCTTATTTTTCAGGCCCAGGTTACATAAACCCACTTTATATTTATTTTATTTAGTGGGTGGATAGTTCATATTATTTATCTGTCCGGTGAATTATTATTATTTTTTTTTACAAAAATACAGACAGCCATCGGTTTTGCCCGTTTGTTAAAGTGTTTATCCACGAAGCGGTGGATAGAGTACAGTATTTTTCTCGATGATATAACAGAACAGGCATTTTTAATCTCAGAATCCAGGCACTGGATACCGGCTAATGTCACCCGCTAGCGTTTACGCGGCCTAAGTTGGGCTCCTGCAGAAGGAACCTTCTAGCACTGTGTGAAGTCTCAAGGCGGGGCACTGTGAGTATCTCTGAGCTAAGCACACTCCGTGTTGCCGGGTCAAACTGACTTGTGCCACCTCGCAGGTCACCCGTGCTACTTCAATCAGCTCTCGTCGGGGCTGGATGTCGTCGGCCTGGCAGGCGAGTGGGTGACGTCAGCGGCCAACACCAACATGTATGTGTCTCCTCTGCCGATACCAAGGCGAGCCGCTTTTTACTGCGGCAGGCCGACGGCTAACAGATTGTTGTCTGCTGGATTCCTCTGTCTACCCTCAGGTTCACTTTTGAAATCTCCCCAGTATTTATCCTCATGGAGGAGGTTCTTCTGAAGAAGATGCGAGAGAAAGTGGGCTGGGCACATGAGGAAGGAGACGGCATCTTCTGTCCTGGTAAATTTGCGTCATCTTGGAGCATGGATAAATCTCAGTTATTCCAGGTTAAAGCTTATTGCTGCTCGTAATTGTACGATTAATTATTTTATCGGTGAAAATGAGCCATCAAACCGGGGCAGACCTCAGAAAGCTGAAGTTCCTGCAGGTATAGGATAAAAGATAAGAGAGGCTATTGATGCTGGATTCTTGTGCATAGAGCAGCAAAGTACATAAAGCACAAACATAGAAATAGTACAAAGTAGACAGTGCAAGCGAACTGAAAATAATACACGGTACACAGACAGAATATTATGAAAGGAATATTAGGAAACAAAGAAAGAACAAACAAATAAATTAGATAGATAGATAGATAGATAGATAGATGATAGATAGATAGATAGATAGATAGATAGATAGATAACACGTACCTGCCTGTGTCTGTGTAGCCTTCAGACAAAGCGCTACCGTCTTTGAGTCTGACTGATGGGGTTCAGACACACCGTGACTCGCGCTGGGCTGACGTTCTCCTGATGTTCTCTTGACGTTCTCCTGACGTTCTCCTGTGTCTCCCGGTGCTGAGACCGTCGGTGTCCATCTTACAGGTGGTTCCATGTCCAACCTGTACAGCATCTTGGTGGCACGCCACAGGTACTTCCCGAAGACGAAGACACAGGGGATGACATGTGCTCCGAGACTGGCCCTGTTTACATCTGAACATGTAATGACTGCAAAACATACATAATACATACATGAAGTTTAACATATTTCGCTTATAGGTCTAAGCGGACTGAGCAAAACATGCAACTTCAGCATTCTCAAAAGCAGTTTGTGATTTTCTCTAGAGGCTGAAGGAAATCAGGCCTTATCACTGATGTATATTAAAGGAAACTTTTACTTGTTAATGATTGTTGTGTATTTTTAGATTCTGTACAGCCTTTTTCATCCCATACATGGAGACTGTAGACATGTTATTAATTATTAATATTCATTTTCAGAGCCACTATTCGATCAGAAAGGCTGCTGGTGTCCTGGGAATTGGAACAGAGAATGTTTTTTTGGTAAAATGTGACAAGAGGTAAAAACAGAACAAATCTGAAAAATTAACTGGGGCATGTAATTAACAATATTAATGGCTCAACCTGTAACAGATTACTGACTAATAAACCTTGGTATAGTGTTGCTGTTCCTGTTTTTTCCCCTAAGATTAAAACTGATCTGTTATTCTTCCTTTCAAAATCTTAGAGGGAAGATGATCGTTTCTGACCTAGAATCCAGCATCGCAAGAGCAAAGGCTGGGGTGAGTTACTCTACTGCCAAACTTTAGCAAAAAGTCATGTTCATCACATATCTCTAGGGTCGCGACTCTCGGATCATGTTTCATTTGTCACAAGCGCAAACATACACTGTAAATTTGTATAGCAAAACGTGTTGTCACACCTGCTTCCTGGATTGTGCTTAAAAGCAAATATGTACAGTAGTACAAAGAAAAATAGTATAAATTTATATATATATATATATATATATATATATATATATATATATATATATATATATATATATATATATATATAAAATAAAACAGTAAAATAAAGCAATAAAATCAAAAGCAGTGGTATCCGCAGCTGTAAAAGGTGTGTGAGAGTATAAAGAGCGTAAAGTAAAGTGCTGTGTTCTCTGTTAGGTGAGGTAGATGTTCCTGTGATCCAGATTGTCTGGGGGTCTGTGACGTGACCAAGCTGTGAATCAGACTTACAAGCTCCGTCATACTGCAGAGGCTGCCTCTTGTGATGTATAATGCAGGATCTCTGTCTCTTTGTGTCTGTGTCTCTTTATGTTTGTTTGTTTGTTTCTGTCTGTGTGCCTGTGTCTCTGTATGTCTGTCTCTTTATGTCTGTGTCTCGTCGTGTCTGTGTCTCTTTGTGTCTGTGTCTCATCGTGTCTGTGTCTCTTTGCGTCTGTGTCTCTGTGTCTCTTTGTGTCTGTATCTCATCGTGTCTGTGTCTCTTTGTATCTGTGTCTCTTTGTGTCTGTGTCTCATCGTGTCTGTGTCTCGTCGTGTCTGTGTCTCTGTCTGTGTCTCGTCGTGTCTGTGTCTCCCTGACAGGGATGGGTCCCCTTTTACGTCAATGCCACGGCCGGCACCACCGTGTACGGGGCCTTTGATCCTCTCCCGGAAATCGCCGACGTCTGCGAGAGACATGGGCTCTGGATGCACGTCGACGTACTGCCTTAACACATCTTCATCCGTTCAGCCGTCTCAGCTGCTTCTCTTATATTTAGGCTAAAACTGCCCTTTAGCAGGGATGCAGGAACTTGGGGTGGTGGGGGGGGGATTCACGCATCCCCCAAAAAGAAGACCTTTGCATTTAAATTATTAAATTGTGCCCCCTCCCCCCCGATATAACATTCTCTCCCACACTCTTGTCCATCACCCACTGCAATTCTTACCTGCAATTCTTCATCCCTCTAGTAACCCTGGCAACAGAAGAGGACAGCATCTCACGGGGCCGAATGGCATATGTACCATAATCATATGATGAACTTGGTGCCACAGTCCCTAACAAGCGACTTTTACAGACAGATTCTTAGGACCTACCATCTAAAAGATGCTACTTAAAGCTAGGGGTGTCAGTTAGAAAAGGCATCATGCTGCCCAAAACTTTCCTTTAGCTAAATGCACGGCATGTATTAAATGCATCCAGAGCAATTTAGCATCTTGTAAGTTCTAAGACAAGCGTGGGACCGAACTGTGAATGTGGAGGAGTTTGGATTTAATGGGTTTATATGAAAGAGTTTAGATAAAATACACATCATGCTGAATAAGAAGCGATGCCTGAGACAGTCGGCTCACGCTCACACTCGCTGAAGCTTACTGATAAAAAGCACGGGTTAAAATTTGACCTCTCTGAAGAGTCACACCTTCATTTCAGGGCTTGTCAAAGTTTCTAAGCATTTCGCAACACAATTTACCGGTAATATACTTTGTCACTTGTAAAGATCATCGTTTTCCCATATGATTTATTTGAGTGATGCGTGCGATTAACAGACGCAGGATTAAAGACGTAGGAATGTGTAGGTGAGAACAGGAGCGCGTAAAACGGCAATAATGGATCGTAAAGGAGCAGAATGTCGCTAAATCCAGTTGCTAATAATACGGCATCCATTTCTGCAGGCCGCCTGGGGGGGAGGCCTCCTACTGTCCAGGAGACACGCTGGGAAGCTGCGAGGGATCGAGAGGTGAGGAGCCGGCACCACGCCGGCGTTAGCTTAGCCGCTACGCTAACACTTTGCGCGAATCGCAGAGGTCAGAGCCCCGCCTGAAGGGATCCGGCTGGTCACACAGGCTTTGCGGTTCTGAGCGGCTCGTCGTAATGCTCGTTAAACACACAAGCAAACATGAAAGACCTGTTTTTACCCTTTGCGAAATAATCAGTAGAGGCGGAGTCGATACGTAGTTGTGTCTGTTCCTTCCTGCGCCGGGAGAGCGGTGCGTCGGAGATAAACGCCATCCCCCTTTCCACCAGGGCTACCTCCGTCACATGGAATCCCCACAAACTGATGGGCGTTCCCCTGCAGTGCTCGGCCATACTGCTGAGGCAGAAGGTAAGCCAGAAGAAGAGGGGGACAAGGCACCGGGCCCAGGTCCAACCCGAGTCGGCCTGACTCTAAGCGACTGGCTGCCAAGAGGCAGAATCACCTCTTAACTTACTTTACAATCATTCCTATAAATAATTAAGTCAGCTACTTAAGATTTAGGCTTCCGAAGTTTCCACCTGGGAGATTAAGGATGACGTGGATGCTTAAATAGCTTGTGTGCTTGTGTCAGAGGTAGCCGGAGCCTGGGGCCAGGCCGGCCTTTCCTCTTTCACGGACAGACGTGGTGGATGGACATATTCCTGCACAATCATTAACATTCCCCTCTGTGCCGCTTTATAAGGGGTTATGGGGTTACCTATGAACCCATATCACGGGAGAACAGTTCAAATTCACATCAAAGACAGTTATAGTGCCAAGAAAGGCAGAAAGTTCTGACTTGAATTAGTGAGTGTGCTTCAAAACTGCCACCCATAAGCAACTCCCCCCCCAGTAAGGACTCCTCATGCTTCTTATACTCCCTATACTCCCTGTGCTTCCTGTACTCCCTATGCATCCTATACTCCCCTGTACTCCCTATACTCCCTGTGCTTCCTGTACTCCCTATGCATCCTATACTCCCTGTACTCCCTATACTCCTTGTGCTTCTTGTACTCCCTGAGCCTTGTATACTTTCCGTATTTCCTGTCCTTCCTCTGCTTCCTGCACTCCCTGTACTTCCGGTACTTCCTCTATTTCCAAATTTCCCTGTACTCCCTGTTTTTCCGGTACTTCCTCTATTTCCAGTGCTTCCTGTACCTCCTGTTTTGCCTGTACTTCCACTATTTCCCGTGCTTCCTGTACTCCCTGTACTTCCTGTTTTTCCGGTACTTCCTCTATTTCCAGTGCTTCCTGTACCTCCTGTTTTGCCTGTACTTCCACTATTTCCCGTGCTTCCTGTACTCCGTGTGCTCCCCATACTTCCTGTACAAACAGTATGTTCACCTGCACATCTGCAGGGGCTTCTGCAGGAGTGCAACCAGCTCTGCGCGGAGTACCTCTTCCAGCCAGACAAGCACTACGACGTCACATACGACACGGGGGACAAGTCGATCCAGTGCGGCCGGCACGTCGATGTCTTCAAGCTCTGGCTGATGTGGAAAGCCAAGGTGACGATGCTGGAGCGTGATGGGACCGTTCCTCATAGACGGTGACCTCAGTGGTCAGGAATTTTTACTTCATTTCGATCCAATTTAGTTTTTAACCGTCCTTTTCTCAGCATACATTCCCAAAGGTTACAGCAGGTAAGGCTTTCTAAAAGATCTGAACCTTCTCAATTCTTTTGTGGTCTTCTAGGGGTCCGAAGGCTTCGGATGTCAGGTCAACTGGTGCTTGGAGAACGCAGAGTACCTGTTCAATAAGCTGGAAAAAAGGCCCGACTTTGAGCTAGTCTGTAAAACTAAAGTAAGTGTATAGACCTTTCTTCCAGTAATGGCACTTTTGTTCTTTTAAATAAATTGCTTTTATTTAGCAAGCATTTTCATCCAAAGCCACCTACAGTTCAAAGCAGGTTCAGACCGTTTCTGTAGCAATAGGGGCTTAAAGGCCTTGCTTAAAGGACTCAGTGGTGTAACCACCCCCACCAACTCTGGGATTTGAGCCCGCAACCTTCTGATCAGAGGCACTGCATCATAACCTGTTGAGCCACAAATACTTGTGTAGTCAACATGACATTAGACACAGAATTCTGTCACTGTCCCTTTTTAGCCAAATGTCAACAAGGATTTAACTGTTATTGTAATTGTTCTGGAATGAGCGGCTGTCGTGTTTCCTGAAGCCGGAACACAGCAATGTTTGCTTCTGGTACCTTCCGCCAAGTATAAGAGCGATGTCCCGAGGACCACAGAGAAACAGCCGCCTGCACGAGGTACCAGCATTGAACCTTGGACAGTAATGTCTATAAACAGGACATTATTACCGTGCGTGGTCGTCCCCAATGTGACAGGCCTTTTTCGCTCTGTTGTCGAGCAGATCGCCCCCAAGATAAAAGCCGCCATGATGGAAGAGGGGATGCTGCTGATTGGATACCAGCCGCTGGGAGAGAAGCCCAATTTTTTCCGATGCGTCTTCTCCAACCCGGCCACCAGGAAGGAGGATGTGGACTTTTTGATAGACGGGATCGTGAGACTGGGATGTGACCTATGAATTTAGAAACATGGAAAAATCATGCATGGGACGTGCATGGGATGTGGCTGATACTCGCCCGTGCTATTTTTTCCATTTCCCATTACTGCTTAGCATGTTTTTTTTCCTCCAGAATCATTATCATTAGATTCATTCATTGGCAGAAAGGCCTGTTTCATTCCATACTTCACAGGAGTACAAAAGACCTTTTCAAGTCCGCTTTTACAGAAGACACCATTATGGATGAAACTCTCATGGTCGCAGGAAGATTAAACACATTAGGGTGACTCCCATGAGCGCAGAACAGAATAATCCGTCATTACAGGGTGGCCTCGCTCCGCTGGGGGTGTGCTGTGGGCTCTTACCCCGGTCCTGCGTGTGACTTTAAATATCCCTCCCTGCATTTCCCTGGTTTTTACCACAGCTACTCTAATGTCCCGCTACCTACACAGAGACACTGGGTGTGGCATTTATGGATCAGATCAGCACGCTCCATGCCAGGCCCGCCACAATGGATCCATGACTTTCTGATATTATATCTGAGACACTTGCCAGCTGCTACAGGCGTAATGTTTGTTTAGTAGCTTGTGAGTACAAAGAAAGTAAATACAGATATTGGGAGTGTGCAAAATAGTAGAGGCCAGTAAATGTATTCGTACAAGCCTCTTTACACTGGGCCTGTGGGGGGGGGCTATGCTGCTACAGGACATATATATTCATACATATTTATACGTATATATTTGCTGACCAATGAAAACCGTAGATGTCCACTTTCTGACGATGCTCATTACGTTGGCCTGAACATTCTCCAGCCTTTCTTCTCTATAATCCCTGAGTATGGTTCTTCAGGCCTGATCCTCAGCTGATCATCTTGATCAGCAGATTGACATGCTTGCCTTGAGCATGGAAATGTAAATAAAAGCATCCTACTTTAGCTCCAAACTTGGGAAGGTGATACTTATTATTCTATTAAAGAGAGAAATACATCCATGTGTAATTATGGGCATTTGCCTGAATCCCTGCCATTCAAAGACATGCATCTGAATCCCTGCCATTCAAAGACATGCATCTGAATCCCTGCCATTCAAAG